CCCCAAAACCCCAAAACCCCAAAACCCCGGCTGATAAACATTTAACAGAAGTTCGATTAATTTAAAAATTAGACAAATGAGATAGATGTTTATTTTTTTACGATATAATAATAAATAAATTTTAGGGAGAAATAGAACTTATAATTCAAATGCTTAAATGCTGTTTTTGTAGCCCAAGATCAAATAAAATTAGCCCTGCCATCAACTACAGCAGTGCAGGAAACAATGAATCAGAAAAATCGAAAAATACCTAAGTCAAACCAGAAGAAGTGAGCTAAAATGGAAAAACACTAGCTAATGAAACTCACCTCACCTCTTATTAATACAATAACAAATACAACTTCTATGTTCAATAATCAATGCCAATAGAAATAATTAATAGGTAGAATTAAATCATTAACGACATTTCGAATAAAATATTTGAGCAAACTACATATTTGACAGAAAATGCGGATTTTGATTATGTTAGGTCGAAATCATCAAACAGAAAAAAATAGCCCGAAGCTTATAAATAATAAAAGAATAAATCAAATGGAATAAATCTGAAAGAAAAGAGGATTAAAAAGAGTGATAAAGAAAAAGAGGACTCTCTTGATTAAAGAGAAATTGAAGATTTAATTGAAGATTTGTTATAGGATAATGATAAAAGTGTATCAGAAAAGCTAAAGAATCTACCATCGACTAAATCCAGCAAAAAAGGGATGATTTCTTAATTAAAATTGAAAGAGGAAAATGCTGGTTTTTAAAGCATTAATTCTAGAATGAGGTCTAATAGTAAATTCAATGATTTGGAGATTAATCCCCAAAGAGAATTTACTCCTAGATTTTGCGGTGAGAGTGGCTAGACTATTATTCAAGATGAAAATCTTAGAGTAAGTTAAACGCCGACCTTGAAGATGAATGCAAAGACCTTTTATGATCCCAGAGCCTACATAGCAAGCAAACAAAATAAAGACATCTCTGAGTAGTCACATGAGAGTAATTTAACTAATTTAGCAGTAGGAAGTGTATAGCAGGATAGTAGGAGAAGTAAAATTCATTAAAATTATTACTATGCAAAGAGTTGATTGAGTTTGAAAGTTATGGGATTTACTTTGTCTCAGTAGCTCCAATAGAAACTGCACAGCTTAAATCATATATAGTATTAGACAGAAATTTAATAATCATCCTACTATACATTTAGGTATTATTTGGATTTTAAATATTTCATTGTCATTTTATTTGCTCTCTCTTCTTAATGACTCTTTTTACTGATGGGGTTTTGGGGTTTTGGGGTTTTGGGGTTTTGTAC